ACATGCAGAAAGTATATATATACATATATATATATGTATATATGTATATAGGTATATATATGTATATATATGCATATATGTATATATATGTATATATGCATATATGTATATCTATATGTGTGTGTGTGTATATATCAGCATATAACACATGTATAGCAGCACCAAAGCATAGGACGTAGCTTGGGCAAGACTCCTATCATGGGACATAACTCCTTGGGAGTTATGTGACCCTTTGTGACCCTTTCAGAACAACGCTGACTTGTGCCAGGAGGGGTCACCCAAGCTGAGGGGGAATGCTGAAATGTCCCACTTGCCCTTAGCACCCTTGCTTGGGTGCTAAGCTTTCACATCAGTACTTGGCACTTTTCAGCCTCACTGTCCTTGGCGTGGTGCTGGACACTGAGTCCCATCACCAGGTCCTTCTTTCTCTGAGCTGCTGATAGATGTATCTTGCCTTCTCAGAACTGCTCCCGTGATACACAGTTCTCTCCCTGATGCTTCCTTTGGTCCTATTGCTACTTAATCCTGTTTCTGGAAGGGGATCAACAGCTCTGGATTGAACTCCTTCCAGGCCAAAGAGAGATGGAAGACAGGCATCCCAGAATGCCCTCCATGCAGTATGCTCTGCTCTGCTTCTGCTTCTGTGCTTTGGGTGCCCTTTGTGGGGTGTGGAAAGCAGAGCACTGGCCTTCAGTGGCTGGACTAGCTTGGACACAACACAGCTGGGAGGCGAGCTGTGCCACAAAACATCCAAGTCCCCTGCTGGGACAGGGCTTTGCTGCCTTCTATCATTTTCCATTAGACTAAAACAAACAGTAATGGCCAGCAGGAAAGTGAGGTCACTGCCTAAAAAGACGTTACTATAAACTGTCATTGATTAATTCTACTTGCAAAGCTATGACAGATATCTTTTATGGTCACGTGATGCGGGTACAGTACAAATCTGTGACCTTCTGTTTCTGAGGGCAGGAGGTCTGGGAGTGATGCAAATCCTGCTTGATATAGATGTGTAGAGAAATATTTAAATAAATGCAATTCTAGAGTATATCTCATTTTTCTACACTTTCTTTGTGACATTCATGCACTTTGCTCATGTGAGAAAATCACCTTCTCCTTCCCTCTGAAAGGTCATTTTATTCATAGTACAGATTAATTTTGTCCACATGGAAAATAAGCAAAGGATACATGATATTTCCAGAGTAAGAAGTAAAAAGGACAGGAAGGATTTCTCCTAATTGCAGCCTGTTTGGCCGTTTTTGTTTACATGTATGTATGAAATGTTCCTAGTACTGCTCTCTCTGGACCATATCTAATTTTCCATTTGTCTCTTTAAAATTAGTGTACATTCACACTCGTTCCTTTCTCCAATATTAAAGGCTGTTATAGGTGTGTAATTGTGTTTCTGGTAAGAAAAGCCCTGTGCAGGATATCCGGCCAATGTGTGAACTGAAGTTTTTAATAAGCAGAGGATACATTCTTCTGAGGTGCTGTACTTTCAGCAACTGCAGCTTCTTAAGAATGGTGGAGCAAGAGCTGCCCTTCATTTTGTTAATCCTCAGCTGCTGGATTTGGCTCCTGTAGAAATACTAGCAGCTGACAACTTTTACGTCAGACCTCTCAGACCTCTTGCACGTTCATGTTCACAGCAGATGACCAAAATAATGTCATATCTTATTCAGCTGTTCATATTCCTGGCTTGGAGCAATAACAGTATTTGGTGGAAGAGGAATACTGAGTTTCACCCAGGATAATGTGATCTCTGTCTTTGTAAAATGTGTTCTGTTGCCAGAAAAGTGTAGCAAACTTTTTCTGTGGAAAATATAAGAAATAAACCTGATATTTACCTGATTATTTACCTGATATTCCAGTAACCTGTATTAGAAGTTTCTGATCTATGGAATGTAAACTGCCATTGAGAATTCAAAGTAAAGAATGGAAATAAGAGGTTCTCAAATGTAACTTAATTCTCAACTCAAAATCCTCTAAATCTGAACACCACATAAATTTTAACTATTATTAAAGAGATAGTAGACTTTTCAAAATCTTGCCAACAAATGATATAAAAAGATAGCCTTATAAGGGTAGTACAAAAATAATTGTTATGTCTGAATAGGAACAAAGGATTTGCAGAAGAATCATAAAATAATTAAAGATTATTAGAAGTTGGGCTTGCTTTAACTTTCATATCTATTTTTCCATTGGAACACTTTGAGGATTTTTTTTTTCTTTTAACTTGATTTTATTACTTCAGATAACTGGCTCTCTTAAGGGCTATCTGAAAAATAAAAAAAAAAATCCAAAAAACTTTCTTCTCTCTTAAATTTGTCTTACTGGAATATTAATTGTACTGTGGAATTCTCATACTTTAATGTGATATTATTTGTAAATTATATTTGCCATAATTGTTTTACAGTTATGTCTTTTGAAACCATCAAAATATGAATGGCCCAACATATTTATCCATATACTGCAATATGACTGAAACTTTGCTGGAATCAGTCGTGTTGACTCAGGTTAACAGCCTGTTCTTTCCTCATTCCTTGACTTAAAAAATGTTGTGGTGCTACAGAGAATATGGAGGAGTAAAAAGAACAACTTTATATCTTTAATTTTTTAAAATATCAAATAAGCTTGCAGCAGCAGCAGCGTTTAATGCCCATTCTAAATTTTCAAATATTGATTTACACTAGTATTTGACTGATATAAAATGCAATTACATTAATTTAATGAGTTTAAATGACAAATAAAGCAGTGGAAAATTTTTCCTAGCAGTTTAAATTAAATAGTGGAATGTAAATTTGATGTGTACTTCAGAGTTGCAACACATTACCATTTCAATACAAACCCTTCAGGAAACAAAACCACTGACATGAAAAGGCTTCTCTGTCACTTTCTATCAACAGGTTAACCCCATAGTCAGAAGTTTGCCAGTAATTTGAGAAAAATACAGTTGTAATGAAAGTTAATATAGTCTCTTTATGTTCACTGTACATCTTATGCAAGCTGGAATTTACTCTGGGGAGGAAGAGGAGGCTCAAGAATCATAAATTGGGGTGACCTTTCTTTGTGGTAGGTGTAGCTGTCCTCTATGATGAGAAGCATGATGAAAATATATGACTGACCTTGCACCTAAGCAGGTATAGAGAGGCCTATGGCCAGAATTCTAAATTTAGGAGAGTAAAACTGGGTGCATTCAACCATTTCAAAATGTCTAAGTAAGTGGCTCACCTTAAATTTTATTTGTATTAAGAATATTTGAAAAGCATATTTGAGAATCAAATGGTAGTACTTGTGTATCTAAAGATACATATAGATGCTTAATGCTGGGTTCCAGAGTTAAACAATTTTGGCTTTTGTAATTTAATGTATCGTGGGTGTACTCTCAAGTAACTTGAGTATGTTTTGATGATCCAGCATTACCTTCTGTTACTTAGGAGAAAGATCCTCCAAATCTGTTCCCACTTCTTGGTGTTCATACACTGTTTTGTCTCATTTCAGTTGGTTTTTATCCTCCTCTTGATGACTGTGGCAAGTGTATTTCTTTATGTAAAGACTGGTGTAGACAATTACATTCCAGCACAAAACACGTTTCTTGCTGAAATGTGATGAATTTCTAAATTGGCTGTGATAAGAGAGGACAGAGTAGTTGATACAAGGAATTATTAGGCAGGAAGTCAAATTAAACTTATGAAAATTAAACTAATTTAATTATTGATCTAATAATTATTGAGGACAAGGTTTCATTTCAGTTATGCACTTTTGCTGCTGAAAGGAGCTCTCCTGCACTCTTTCTCTGTCCCTGGTCATGTGCTGTTTCCACAAGAATGCACAACTAGCCAGCTCAGGAAAAAAAAAAAAACATCAGATGCTTTACTCAGTGATGAAAGGAAAGGAAGGAGAAATTGTATGTTTGGTCATTTGGCCAAAATGACAAACCACACCTGGTGGCATGGCTTGTGAGGTCTAGAAAAGAAAAAGATAACAAGTTACAGGGGAAGATATCTGTCTGGGCCATTTTGAGTACTTCAAAAGGGAAATTTCCATGAGGAGGTGTCTTAACATCACTTTGAAAGGCAGGTCTGTGCCCAGCTGTCCTCTCTACTCCTACGACTGACAACTAACAGCAGTCACTGAAGTACTGATGCAGCTGTAAACAGCTAGACTTCTTTGCAGACTTCTTGCTGTTAGAGATTGACTGGAAAATGGAGAGTAAGTTTTGAGAGAGCAGAGAGTAATGCCATAAGAAAGTCTACTCTGTAAAGGGGAGAGAGAAATTTAGAGAGAGAAAACAGCTAAAGAACTAGATGAGCAGAAAAAAAAAGGTGACATGAGAAGGAGTTTTTTTAACAGGTGACCCTATGAGAATGTTGTTCCAATGATATCTAATTCTCATATTATGTTAACCTTCCTCTCCTTTTGTTCTTTCTACTGTTACCATGAATTTATCCTGAAAATCTGGTGTCTCTTTATAATGTCATGCTCTATTCTCAACCTTAGCTATTATCTTACCACACTCATTCATGTCAAAGCAATGAGAGTTGGTAGTTTTTGTTGCTGTTATTATTATGATTACAATTATTATTATTATTATTATTATTATTATTGTTGTTGTTGTTGTTGTTGTTGTTGTTGTTGTTGTTGTTGTTGTTGTTATTATACACCAAAGAGCACCAATTCACACATATAGTAGGTGTTAATTTATTCCAGAAATCAGATAGCCAGTAGAAAATAGGTGCTCTCTTTTCTGCTTTGCACTGCACTATTATCATTAGTAGCTACATCCGACCATCTTAAGCAGATCTGGTGTACTGCAGTGTTGTAAAGATACTGCCCTCTTCAGAAAGCTTTTCCAGTTTTTTATAATTGTGTACAGTCTGGTTTTAATATGCAAATTATTGCAGAATCTTCTTTCCATACATCTGTTATATACATCGGAAGACCGACTTTTGCCACCAGGCTGTGAGAAATTTAGTATCATTGTTCTAATCTCATTTCTTCAGGTATTGAGCTGCCAAAGGAAGAGGAGATTTCAGTACCTGTGACTTCAAGCTCTCCAGTAAAGGATACTGGGAAGGATGTTGATCTTGCCATTGAACAGGAAGAGAAGATGAAAGAGGAACCCTTAACCATCTCAGAGCTGGTATACAATCCAAGTGCCAGCTTGCTGCCCACACCGGTTGATGATGAGATTGACATGCTTTTTGATACCTGCCCAAGATCAGAGAATGAGAAAGATGATACTGATTCATTTGAGGAACTTGAAGCTGATGAAAACGCATTTTTAATTGCAGAGGAGGAAGAACTGAAAGAAGCTCGGAGAGCCTTGAGTTGGAGCTATGACTTTCTAATGGGCAACATAGAGGTTAATGCTTTTGTGAAGAGTTTCTCCAGACTTTTTCTTGTAGGCCTTGGACTATTGTTGTTTGTGTTCCCCCTTTTCCTTGTTCTCCTGGAGTCGGACCTTCAAATCTCTTTCCTTCATGAAATTCGCCAGACGCCAGAGTTTCAGCAGTTCCATATTGAATATTACTGCCCCCTTAGGCAGTGGATGGCTTGCAAAATAAACTTCATCCGTGATATTCTGGGCAACTTTTAAATTTTACATGAATATAATACAACTAAGGGCTATATTCAAAATTTCAGTTAGTGACAGCTTTCCATAATGTCCCTGGACCCATCTGTTGACAGTTGCCTTCATATCCTCACTTACAGTTTTTGTTACAGACTCTTCATGTCCTTAAGTTCCCTTTACATACTTAAAATGCCATTTTAATTACCAACTTAGACAGTCACCTCTCAATAACCAAAAAGAAGCTTTATTTTAAATACATTTCAGACTTCCAGCTCATTTATTGCATCATATAAGACAGGGTCACAATAAGTTTCATTGTCCTTAACCTTTCAATCCATGACACTAAAACTGACAATATTGAAAGAAAACCTTTTTGAATATACTCCTTAGTGCAACAATTTCTTCTAACCAATGCCTATACAAGCAATGTTTATTCTGGGGTTTTGGTTTTTGTTTGTTTTTCTGTTTGTTTGGTTTTTTTACATTTTTATGTCTTTAAGATATTTTGGTAAGTTTTTAGTAAAAGAAAACTTACAATGTTGTTTAAATGTACTGGTAAGAATAATGCAGAGGGGCATGCAGGGTGTTTTTAGTGTTTTACCAATTATTTGTTTTTAAACTATGGCTGGAGAATGAATGAATTTAATGTAGCTATATACAAAGGGACTGTGTTTGGGAAACACACAGAAAGTTCACTCAAGTTCTGTAGGGACTGCCTGGGCAAGGTGAAATGACAGCAAGTATGCAAAAGAATTTCTGAAAGGCACAGTTCTAAAGCTTGGGGAAGTGAGCAGAACTGAAATGATCCTCCCTCTTATTTGTCAGGTTGTCTTCCATTTTATCAGTTCTGTAGAAAGTCTTTACAAGATAGTCCAAGTACGTTTAGAGAAAGATTGAGTCTTCAGTCTAAATGTAGATTATTGTACATAACAGAAAACAATAATAGTAAGTAGCAAAAAAAAAAAAAAAAAAAAAAAAAAAAAAAAAGACCCCAAAATAAATCAGTAGGTGAGTGAGCTACTTTTAAAAATCATAAAGAAGATGAAAAGGTGGAAAAGGAATAAATTTTTCATACATAAAGCACAGCATTAGGCTGTACAGTTGATATCAAAATAATCTACTGGCTCACAGTTAAAGGCTTAAGAGACGAATCTTCTGCTTGATACCCTTTATGACTAATCTCTAAGACAACATATTTTCTGTGCATACTAATATATTTCCTTTCACATATAACACCATACTTACCCTCATTTCTTGTTATTATGAGCCCAGTTACGTGATCTATTACTGTTTTGTGTAACATGGATTTGTATATCTAAAAGTATTCCAATATAGCTTAGAGAATATACTTACATAAAATCTTGTCAATGCTCAGAACATTTGAAGGCTCTCAAATATACCACAGAGGTTGTATCTAAGACAAGAAAGTTTTTATTCCTCCTGTCTCACAATCTTAGTGCAGCCTTATTTCATATTTAAATTAAGGAACTTGAATTTTGGCTTCAGACTCTTTCTCCTGCTTAGACATTTATGAATTGGAGACATACGTGAGGCTATTTTATTAGATATGCATTTAACACACTGTAACCACATGTCTAATTCCTACTAAATAAATTCCTTTAGTTGCAGTATCAGGGAATCTCTTTTGCTTGGTTTTCTCTTGTAAGCTTTTGCAAGTGTCTAGTTTTAAAATGGCAATTTTCATAGAGGATTTTTCCTTCCCTTCTAATCTTCTCCAGTTTTTAAAGAACAGAATAGTTAACAGGGCTTAGGAGTTCCTTTCCTCAGCTGAAAACTTTTAGATTACTACTCATCTCCCCTCCAACAAAGGCTAAATTAAACAACCGTGGTTTTATATTGTCTTTGTTTGTTCTTGATAACCTGTTTCCCAGAAGAATCATTAATGATTAATTATTTAATGTCTATTTATTCCTGTGCTACTTGCAGCTAAGTGATCCTTTCCCACAAGGTAATAATCATTCAGCCTAATAGAAATGGAGAGTGAACAAATGTAGATATTTGGTCTTAACCAGAAATTATTCATTTGCATTGTTGCTAAAGAAAGGGATCAGAAAAGGTGTTTTCAGTGGTGAAGGCTGTGTAGCAGACATCCTGACGGACTGTGAAGACATGGTTCCATACAACCTCCTAGAAAGTCTGATAATCACTTAAAAAAAAAAAGTTGGTTACCATAGTCTCATCCCTGTGCACCCCAGAAGTAGGAGTATTGTAATGCTTAATTTAAATCTTTCAGAAAATAGCTCAGTTGCATCAAAACATAATCTCAAAAATTGTGCAATGCAGTGAAGTTTTATGTAGGGTTAGATGCAAGTGTGTGCGCACATGTGCTTGCATTTACTAACCACATGCATACATTCACACCTGGCCTTTTAAAATTCTCATCTTTTCTTCCTGATAATCCCTGGTCTATCAAAGTAATTTAATTGAAAGTCATGAAAGTGTTATAACTTAAAGGCCAGGACCATGTCATACACAGAAGGATGTGGTTGGGCACATTCAGAGAGAGTAGCAGCTTTTTACTAGTAAAGATGACAGGCATGGACTACGGAGCGTCTATAGGTACAGTATTGTGTATTTTTGTCTGTGCTTGGATTATATTGTAAAATGTTATGTACTTGAAATCTATTTTGTGGTTTGTCCAACATTTATAAATGCAACTCTGGGAAGTATTAAAAATGGTTTTATTTCATGGAGTGTAAGGGGAAAATATACCTGTAACTTGAGCCTTATCTTTGTACAGTGAATTTCACATTTCTATATGTCAACATCCTGATTGTTTTGTATGTTGATATGATGGCAGGAATCCCTAATAAAATTACACTGGAGAAAAGCTTTCTGTAGTTATGACAGTTCTTATGGGGAAAGATTTTCTATAAATAATATGTTTTGTCATGAAGTTCTTGGAATATAATATAGTCTCTTATGACTCTTATAAGAGTCTTATAGACTCTTATAAGAGTCTCTTATGACTCTTACAATGTTTTCAATATGATTTTCTTTATTCATCAGCTGGTGAGACACTAAAAAGTACTTTAAAGTAGGATGTTATTAGCATGGCTTCAGGCTCAATTACGAGACTGTTGATTTGCCTGGATGCCACATAAGAGTGAATCAGAGTCCTGAGACACAATTGCTGCACACAGCATAAAAACTGAGAGGTTGAGAGGCTGATTTTACAGTCATGCCCTGGTAGTGGACATATGGCTGCAGTCTTGTAGAGGCAGGTCTGGCTAGTGTGTTATGTAGGAAAAGCTGTGCTTTCTGATATTGGGTTGGTTTGGAACTCTGACAGAGCAAAAGTATTTGGTAAGAAATGCACTGCAATGAAGCAATTTGTTATAATTCTGGGGAGCTAAGAGACATAGAAGGTACTTCCTGAGCATCTAAAACATGTAGATGAAGATATTACTGTACTGTATAGAAAGTTCCAAAATCTAAATAAATTCTGGCAATTTGAAACATAAGAAAACGGGACTATAGTACAGGTAGACCTATTAATTAAGTTAAAAGGATGTAGGTTGTAATACAGCCTTCAAAAGAGGCTGTCCTGCTGTAACATAAGAGTAAAATATATCCTTCTCAACACTGTTTGTATTCTGAAGTCCTATTTAATTTATGAAACTAGCATTTGTAAAACAAAATATTTTTACTCCAGGAAGAAACACGCCATTTGCCATAACTTCTTTCAGAATAATCTCACATATTTCTCTGAAATTCCAACTCACTGAAATGTCATATCAGAGGTACATTTGAAGAAATAAGGCTGAATCTTTTGGTGCTAATGGTCAATCTAGGTCCTTGACAACAAATGTGTCAGCCAAACTGGAGATCATAAGAATTAGAAGGCAAGAAACTTCACCTGGAAGTCAAGGTACGTTTCTTAACATTTTGTTTGGTTGTGTTTAAATCTCAAAGAAAATATTTCTCTCCTCTGTTTTAATGGATTTGCTGTGGATTTCCTTAAAGCTGTCATTTTATATGGAAAAGGACATATGTCTGGGACACCCTGTGAAGATTTCTGCTGTCACAGCTGTCACAGCTGTTAAATGCCACACTAAAGACTGATGCCATAGTGTTATGTCTTTCATTTTGCCTCTTTACAAAGGTGATTCCCTCATCAGCTTTATCCTCAGAAATCTGAGGGAGATGCTGTAACATTTAGAAACTGTCTTGCTTGGAGCTTCTTTCTTTTAAAGCAGGTGATTGATGTTCATCTCAGCCATATGAATTCCCTGCAGAGATTCTATTTTACAAAGGTTCACAGCTTGCCCACAGGTCTCGTAGCTCACTCATAGAAAACAAGGTCAATATTTGTCCCTGTGATGCTTAAGGGTGTAGTATTAATTTATAGCTGAGGCACAACCCATCACATACACATCAGCCCATAGCCCACCTCAGCTCAGTGTTTGTGTGTTACATTGAGGAGCAATAAGGCACTAATTTCTACTTCAGCATCATATAGTGAATGGAGTACAGAAATGTAGTGATAAAAATTCAACATGTGCTTGAAAAATTACCTGTTCTATTTATTTCATTCTGACCTTTTCCATATTAGCTCACTTTTATTTTCATTGAAGAAATGTTTGTTGAGCTCATGAGATGATAGATGCTTTGGAGAAGCAAAGTGGCCCCCTAGAATCTTCATCAGCATTATGATGAACAAATATTACCTACTAAATCCTACTTGCAAGATGAAGAAACATCATTGGATTAAATGGACTAAAAATCCAGGTGAAATAGATCACATTTTTTTGATTGAATACTAATTAAGTATATTCTTTAAATCTATTTAATTATGTGCAAAGATTTAAACATATATTTTAATGTACAATAAATATATAATTATATAGTAAGTGTTTCTTTGATAGAAAAATTATTAAATATGTTAACTGAATAGGGCACCTATTTCTAGAAAAAGCTGTCAACAGAAGAACATGGAAAGCCTCTCATTAGTAATACTGTATATCTTATGTCAAATTCATAATGAAAAGCTCTACTGCATATAATGTCTTCTGGAAAGCCTAGTTCTATATGCATTTTAAAATATTTTCTGTGTTTCAGTATTATGTATATGAGTAATTCCCTAAAGAGAAGTTTTTATAGGGCTGCAGGTACTTTTGAATTAACTTCTAGTGCAATGAACCCCTCAACAGAAACTTAGATGCCATCTAATGTGTTTTTCTCAAATCTTCAGAGTCTCAGATATTCAGATTCTTCTTCCCGGAGATGGGGCTGCATGCACACAATGACATACACTTTGGGTATGGGAAAAAAGGACTTTTGCAAAACTAAAACCAAAATAAAGGCTTCTGAGCACTAAGTTTGCTTAAATATTCTTCTTGCTAAGTCAACAGCTGTAATCCTTACTCAGAAGGTGTATAGCCACTGGATGTACTCAACTCAGTAGCACAGTGACCATCACCACTGCTTTACTGGCTTTGCCTAGCTCATGGCATGAGCCATTTCTGCCTGAGATCCTGATACAACCACAGGGAACTGTAATAAAAAGGCAATGTAAGGAAATGTCATTGCTGCATTAATGGGCATAAAACCAAAAGAAACATCAACTGGTAGTGAAAATAGATGGAGTCAGTTTTGCTTCATAGCTGTCTAACTTGCTCTTGACATTTCAATGTACTGTTAAGCCAGAGTAGCTGACGTATTTTGTTTGGGCAGCTCACCAGAAATGTTACTATTTATTTGAGACCATTGTTATATCCCCTACTTTTGTAGTCACAAATGTATAGGACATCCTCTTCACTGGTTTCCCCTGCCCTTTCCCACATCCCAGAAAGTTGTTTTGGAACCTCAGAAATGAGATGAAACATCACATCTCTAAAGAGCTGAAGTGCTATCGGTGCTCAGAGAAAGAACACATCTTTTAATGTGTGAGCAGCCCTTGTTATAGTACCCCACAGCTGTGCTATTTTAAGTGCCCTTACAATAGCACAGCAACCCTGTTTCATGTGGGAAGGAAGCTCAAAAGCTGAAAACAGAATCTCTATGCCAGCCATGTACTCATGAATTCCTCCTTCTTGTATGTTGTTCTTCTGATCAAAGTCTCCTTTGCTGTTCTGATTTAGGCAATTATCCTCCACAAAGCACAAAGCTCCACTTGTTAAAATGTCATTTCCAAAGCCTCTCTTCTGCCTTTACTTCTCATGTGCAAATTTAGTACGTGCCCTGGATGTATAGGGCATGAATTGTACCAAATTTCAGCATAGCCCCTGGGCTGCAAAACATGTACAACTTAGTCCTGAATATTGTGTGCTGGACAGCATAACCAATTTTTTAGTCTGTAATAGTGTGTAATATGTGCAAATTTTTATGACTTGCATTGCAGCACTCTACTATATTTGTTTAAAACCCACAATTATAGACAATTATAATAGAATAGCACTCTCAGAAACTTTATAAAATATCAGGACCCTTATGAAACATCTGTTTCAAAGATTTTGGGTCTGCAGATATCACTGCTGCCTCTGAATAACAGTTCTGGCTTTTTGGTTGTACTTTGCATATTGACTTCTGGTGTTATTAGTACCCTCTTGGCAGGGCAGGAAGAAGTGCATTTAGTAAAAATTGATCAGCAAAACTCTGAAATCACAAGATATTCCCCCCAAGATGCTCCAGTAATAAATGACAAAGTAGCAATCGAGAAAAAAGAATATAGCAAACCAAAATTATGTAATCACTATCTATGAGTGTTAATAAAGTAGAGCCCACATCTAGCTAAACATTGTAAAACTTTGAATGTACACTAGAAAACCTTTATAATTATGGTACTTATATTCTCCAAAGATATACAAAGTAAGGAGTGTAATCCTATTTACACCTGTATTAATCCAAGGGTTTGGCTCCTATATAGATATATAAAAAAAAAAAAGTAGAAATAACAAAAACTGCAGTGGTATTATCAGCTATAAACTGGGTGTTCTTCAGAGATAATTTTACTATGAGTTTCTTCATGTTTTCATTTTCCAAATCCTTCCTATTTATGATGAGTGTTTGGTGGATTTAGCCTGTTGGAAATGCTGTAATGAATCAGACAGGAGCTAGTAATGTGGGAAAAAATGTTTTAAATAAGTACCATACCAGACTGAATTAAAATCAGTGAAGAGATTTGGAGGACCTAAGTAAGTCTTAGCAGAATATCCCAGAGCCAGACACACTGGTCATGGCTCAGGTAATCAGGATCTCCTGAACTTACTTAATTACTGCCATGATGGAAGTCAAAGTTAAAAGTGAAATTTAGCACCCCTGAATAACAACTTCCGGTTCCTCTCCTCCTCCCAAATAGCTAACCATTTTAGTAAAGGTGTTAAAGTCCTGCTCAGCTTGGATAACTATATAATTCAATTTCATTTTGACTTTAAAACGATGTTAAATGTAAAACACACCAGCATTACCAGCTATCTTAAAGTCTATTGTTTCTAATCAGTTTATTGTTAAGATGTATGTATGTGTGAAGATGCTAACTTATCATTCAAGTATTTTTTCTTTTTATTCCTTTTAAGGAAAAAGGGCTTACTACAGGTAATATAAAGACCAAAATGGAGGTAGATTCTACATGTTGTTTTAAGCACTTTTCCGCTGAGTTCACTATAAAGAAGCCAGATATTTTATTTCTTTCTTTTCCATTTGTCCCAAAGTGATTATTGGGTTACATCACCTCAGATGTTTTAATGTATTATTCACATATTGTAATCACTTGCTTTCTTCCATCTTAAAATCTTCTAACTGATGTCTTTAAAATAATTATGAAGAAATGGCACTGCAGTTATTTAATACAATACTTTTAATATAATCACTATATTTAAGAACATAATT